TGGCCCTAGAAGCCTTCACAGCCTGGCTACCTGTCGCTGAAAGAGAATCGGGAGTAAAACTGAAGAGTTTTTCAGTCAGATGGCGCAAAGGAGTACCAGTCACACCACTTCACGCAGTTCTTGGCAGAAAGAGGCATCAAACGCCTCATCTCTCTTCCTTACCCTCACCAACAGCAGGGTGTGGCAGAAAGGATGAACAGGACCCTGCAGACAACCATGCAAAAGCTGCTACGTGGAACACGACTGCCCAACTCAGAATGGCCAGCACCGATGGACCACGCTGTCCTCCTGCACAACTTGCTGTCCTCGTCTTCACTGCCCAACAACGCATCTCCGCACCTGTTGTGGACTAGGAAGCTGGGCAACACAAAAATGTTACGAGTCTTTGGGTGTATGGTACAGTACCGCCCACACACTGCATGCGCAGGGAGATTTTTGCAACGTGCACAATGGGGTCTACACCTCGGGCTGGCAAAACATTACGAAGCCTGGCGAATCTTCGAAGTCCACACAAAGGAAATAGTAGCAGCACGTGACGTTATCTTCTACGAGCGACTCACCCTCAACCATTACCTGGACAACATCGCACGCCACGTCGACCCCACCGGCGGATTTTCTGGCTCCCGAGCCTTCACTTCACCCTCCGACGCTGCTGACTGGGAAGAAGAAAACGTCGACGGCGCCTCCGAAGCTGCTGGACCCCTTCCCTACTGCTCCGTCCCAATCCCCATGGACGACGAAAATCCTCGCGACAGCATCAATGCCGACGTCTACTACCATTTCGCCGACACCGGTTACGTAACACCCCAACCCGTCAACACTGACATTTCTGAACGATATGGCCCCGGATTCGCACCTGATCTTGAAGCGGGAGACGAAGCAGTCTATCCCGAGGATCCCTTGCTGAACCGTCACACCCCCAGCGGACTCCAAGTCTTGGGACTCGTCGCTGCAGTGCACGGGCCTTCGACACCACCTGAAGAGCCTCGCTCTGTCAAGCAGGCTCTGGGGGGGAAACACAAAGAAAAATGGCGCGAAGCCATGGAAAAGGAGTTAAAAGCGCTATCAGACCGCAACACCTGGAAGATCGTCCCTGCATCACTCGCACAAGACATACCCATTCTCTCCGGGAAATGGGTATTCCGGATCAAAACCAACTCCGACGGAACCATCGAACGATTTAAAGCTCGATGGGTCGTCCGCGGATTCGACCAAGAGTTTGGTCGCGACTTCACTGAAACTTTTGCACCACTCATTCGACACACTTCCCTACGCATTCTTCTCGCCATCGCCGCCTCACGTCGCCGCCCACTCCGACAAATCGACGTCGCCAACGCTTTTCTGTACGCCCCAGTCGACGCCGAAATCTTCGTTGAACAGCCCCACGGGTTCGTCGACGACCCTTCCCGCGTCTGTCAACTACTTAAATCGCTGTATGGAATCAAACAGGCACCGCGACTCTGGCAACAGTACCTGCACGCACGACTTAAACGCATCGGATTCAACCAACTGCCCCATGACCAGGGCATGTATCGCCTCACTCACGACAACGACTACGTCTTGCTAATCGTCTACGTCGATGACTTCATTTACATCGGGTCAACTACCACCATCGTCGCCTGGTTCGAAAAGGAGCTTCAGACGGATCTCTCCCTCACAGTCTCACCCAACGTCACGCAGTACCTAGGGCTCAATATTCTCGACGAAGACAACGCCATTCATCTCAGCGCCTCAAAATATGCAAGCACTATCGCCGAACGCTTCTGCTTCACACCGACGCACGTCGCAACACCCTACAGTCACCTATCGCCCGACCCAACCGAAGAAACCAACCTACTGCCGTCTGCCGGAATCCAGGAATATCAACAGAAACTGGGCTGCTTACTCTTTGCCGCCGTTACGTGCCGACCGGACTTATCCTACAGCGCCAGTCAGCTAGCGACCTACCTCAAGCGCCCAGAACAACGTCACCTCAAGGAACTCAACCGTGCCCTTCTCTACTTCATCTCGACGCCAACAGTTGGCTTAACGTATCACAAGAGCACGACGACCGATCTAAAACTACTCGGTTACGTCGACGCTGATCACGCTGTTGATCGTGTCGATCGTCGCTCTCGCACCGGCTACGTCTACCGTCTCGAGCCCGTCGGAACTATCTCCTGGCAATCAAGTAAGCAGGAACTCGTCGCACTATCATCTGCTGAAGCAGAGTATATTGCTCTCTGCACCGCCACCAAGGAAGGTCTGTACCTGCGCGAACTGCTAGAAGAAACGAAAATTGCGAAGGTACCCAACTTCTCGCTTTTCTGCGACAACCAGTCCGCAATACGGATCGCGAACAAGAATGGCTTCGCCAACAAAACCAAGCATATCGCACTGCGATACTTCTTCGTGAAAGACGAAATTGAGAAGGGAAAACTCCAGCTGGACTACTGCCCAACCACCGAGATGGCAGCAGATTATCTCACCAAGAAGCTACCAAAGGGGAAATTCGAGTACTGCATGTTGCTCACCGGATTGGACCACGTCACCGAAGCTAACCACGTCGACACTCCAGAAACGAAGGAGAGTGTTGGGAATATAAACGCATGACTTAGTGCGTTTCTGTAGTATCGAACCTCACCCGACACTGAAGCACAACAAAAGGGGTATGAAGTCGAAAAGGCGCGTACCACATCAAAACCGCAACTGGAGGTTGCGAGGTGTAACCGCCTGGAGGTTACGTAACAGCAAGCGACGCTTCAGTGAACAGTAACCGCCTCGATAGTCGAAGGGTTACGCGTCTCGACAAACATAACCGCTTCTTGTAATCTATCTTTCCTATATATTCCTGTATGCTCTTTGCCTTAATCAATTACTTGTTCTCACATACCAGCACAAGTACATTCACTCAAGTCTTCCGCTGTGCTACTCTAGCACCTACTAGCCTATTCTCTGCAAAGATCCTAAGGCTGAAATTATCAGCCCAACAAGGGGCTTATAATAACCCTTAAACTGTGAAACTAGATGGCCAATCGCACATGGCCAAAACGATTTTAGCGAATCGCACATGGCGAAAAGCAAATTGGTGCAACCGAAAGCCGTGTCACACATGAGTCTCGTACTTCAGCAGAACCGCACATCATTTCCCTTTCCCAAACCGAGTCGAAATTTCGAATCTGAAACTTTAGGAGAGAACATTCCGCGCACATAGGGTGTAGACAGTTGAGAACTCTTGCTGCAGCCAGCGCGCCCAGCACAGAAAAGTTCCGAGCGATACCGTGCCTGCTGCCAGGTCAGCTGATTGGGAGCTTGCCACACTTGGCACTTGCACGAGGCCATTGTCTGATGCCCACACCTCGACCCTGACTGCTCAGTGATCCTAACTCTTGACAAATGACCAATCAGAGTGCCCCATTTCTGGCCGCACAATTGCGTTGGTATGCTGTAATCAGCTTCAATGCTATTATAGCTATGCTGTTATGAAACTGCATGAACATCTTAAAATTTGAAGTAACTCTCACAGTTCAGGCAAAAGAAGTTGTGCTTGTCTGAATTTTCATACTAAAAAAAATAGGTAACTCTGACAGCCAGACTAGGAAGATGGGTGTACTCTGAGGCGTCAAACTACCTCAAAACGAATCTAGGGGCCTGACTGGGAGGGGCTCAAACAGGCATCAATTGTACTGCTGTCGAGGCCCACCTAAATACAATGTACAGAAAATATCCTACGGGATTTACAGTGCAGCATTCGCTACAGTTTCCCAACCAAACCTGGGCATTCACCTGCAGTGCGACATGCGGCTCGGCTTGAACTCAATCGAGCAACACCCAACTGCCGATTTCTCCTAACGACCACCACTACCCCCCTCGCTTGTCCCTCCCCTGAGACTTCTGTCTCTCTCTGTTCCCTCCAACCACCTGCACATGCACGCCCCACCCAGAGGATTCTTCCCCGTTCCACCACTTTCTCTCGAAGTCGTGCTGTGTGTGTCTTCCACCTTGGCTGCTGCTCTCGCACGTTTCCTTCTCTTCCCTAGCCTCTTGGCTCTCTTTGTAGTTGGCACTTCGCCTCGCTGGTAGTAAACCTACTCGTAGGCACTGTTGTACCAATGTCCCTCTTCACGCCACTTCCGGTTGTAGTAGTCACCGCTTATGATCACGCCATAACAGTACCCGGTGTTACTATGGCTGTCCACTACCGCAGCATGCACCAGGTCAGAAAGCGCTACGTACCTTTCGCGCACCCCTTCCGCCAATCTTCTTCTGCTCAACCCTCCTCCGCCTTAGACCCTTGTGGCGTCCCGTCAGCAAAGTCAACGTTCCGATTGTGGGCACTCCCCGATCGTGCCGCTGCTCAATGTCACAGGTACTACTACAACTACTACCTACTCAGACCTCCTTCAACTCTCTCCCATGAAATCAGTGCCACAACGCCCGGCATTAGAACAGGTGGTAGTACAAGTGCCAATGGGGCTCGATGTCAGAATGTTATTATCTAGCCTGTAGTGGGGTGCTCTACAACGAGTACAACCCTGTTAGGGTTTGCTATATGTATCCCAACTACTGCTAGTGAAACCCTCATCCTTTGTTCATTTCTCTCTTCCCTAGCTAGCTAAACCCTAGCTATGGCTCGTCACTGTGCTTACCATTGTAACATGGTTTCAGAGCATTTACGCTCCTGGCCTGTGGGCCCACCTAGCTGCTTCCGCTGCTACTCAGTGTGTTGCACGCCCTGTGGCGTGCGACGGATTTTTCTTCCCGCCGAGCGCTCGGAGCGTGCGGCGGTTTTCTGCCCGCCGTGCGCCCCGAGGCGCGCGGCGGCTTTCTGCCCCGTCGGTCCGCGTGTCGCCCCTGGGGGGCGCTTCGACGGGCGACAATGAGCTGACTGGAAGCATCTCTGATTTCATCTTCTCCTCGTGTCTCTCACTGCTCGACCTCTCCCACAACCAGCTCTCTGGCCCCATCCCAGACCCTCCCCAGGGAACAGCTAGAGCTCCTCCGTCGACCTTCTCTACTACATGGACCTCTCTTCCAATAAACTCACAGGAAGCATCTCCAATGATCTTGTCACCGGCCTCACAGCCCTATCCCACTTGGACCTCTCAGACAACCTTCTATCAGGCTCGCTGCCGCGCTCGCTCGCACTTGTCCCCTTGCTCACCGACCTCAACCTCTCACGGAACAAGCTCAAGGGCTCCCTGCCTGCCTTCTACCAGGGCAAGCAACGCCTCGCCTCTCTCCTCCTCTCCTCCAACGCTTTCTCCGGCCCCCTCTCCTCCCTCCTCCCCTCCTCCCCCTCCCGCGCCTCCTCCCTCCCCTCCCTCAACGTCTCCACCAACCAGCTCTCCGGCTCGCTCCCCTCGTCCCTCTCGCGCTTCACCGCTCTGCACTCCTTGCTAGCGGCGCGCAACCATATGAGCGGCAGCATCCCTGCAGAGCTGGCATCGCTGACGGCCCTGCAGGAGCTGGACATGTCGTGGAGCGGGCTGTCAGGCACCATCCCTGCGCTGCTGCGCGTTGCTGCCCCCTCCCTGCAAGTGCACCTCGCTGGCAACGTCCTCTCTGGCTCCGTCCCCCGCTCTCTCTCCAACCTGCCCACCTCCTGCTTCCGCCCCGACAACCCCAAGCTCTATTGGAAGCCCCTGCCTGACTGCAAGAAGCGCTCCTCCAAGACCACGAAGGTCCGGGGGTAGGGAGCGGGGAGGCGAGAGAGAGGACTGGCGGCTGCTTGTCGGGCCGACTAGGGCGTTAGGGGCCGCTAGGTAGGTAAGCGCGGGGCCTAACGGGGCCTATTAGGGGCCGACGGGGCCGCTAGGTAGGTAAGCGCGGGGCCGTCAAGGGGCCTCTAGGGGCGATCGCGATGGGCCGTTAGGGGCCTCTAGGGGCGTGACAAAGCCGAGGCGCCCTAGGGCGCAAGTAGGTAGGTAGGTAGGTAGTGGTGGGCCCTTAAAACATTTCGGTCCTAGGAAGGACCTGCTCTATACCATGTTGGAATTACTGAACAGGAATGAATGAACTAACAGTGAAATGAGTACAAGTACCTAACCCTAGAATTGTGTACCCCCTATAGGCTAACTCACTATAGCCTAAACTAACACAACATATATAATGTTTGACAACTTCTTCAGTCGCCATACCTCGGTTCGAATTCTACTCGCCATTGCCGCCGCGAAGCACCTACCACTGCGACAGATCGATGTGAAGAACGCGTTTCTATACGCGTTGGTGGATGCTACCATCTTTGTGGAGCAGCCGCACACCTACGGAGAAGGTGTTCCCAGGGTAATCAACCAATTGCTGCTGAGTTGGTGTTTGGGAAGAGGAAGTGCAGTTGACCTGAGTCTTGGATGTGGGGAGCAAAGTTGGTGAGGGGTGATGGAGGGCTCCTTTCATGTGCCTTCCACAGCAAATACCATGTGAGTGGGGTGGGGTGGCAAAACGAATGGACCAGGGGTTCCAGGGAGGAAGGGGAAGAGTGGGGAAGGCATGCAGGTTCAAGTCAGGAAGGAGCAACATAAGTCATTCAATCTCATGTGCCGATATCGAAGAAGCATAAGAAAGATGCAGCTGTGGCAACCACGACCTGTTCGACTAATGTACATGCACAGCACCAGAAACACAAAAGATGCTTCAGCAGCAGTAGCACTCACGAGGACTCATGGGTTGGTGCCATCTCTTTAACTTTCCACACAGTTGAGTCCACAACAGCAGTAAAAAAACTGAATAGGTACCCCCTCCCCCTTCCCTTATTCTTTCGCAACACACCTGAGCGAACATCAGGCCCCACGAAGTCAGAGAAATTTCTCTGATTTGCCTATAAAAGTCTGATTTCTCAGATTTTTTTTTTAGTGTTGTCTGTTAAATTCAGACTTTTTTTAAAGTGTTGTCTGTTAAATTCAGAGTCTTTTTTAAGCCAAGTCTGCAATCTCAGAGATTTGTTTTAGTGTACTCTGATAATTCAGAGTCAAATGCGTATGAACTCTGAAACTGATTCAATGTACCTTGGCACCGACACCCACGATTTGCGCTAGTACGTGTACCTGGGTATTCAATCACGCGTAACCTTGGACCACACCCTGCTAGAGCACCGATTGGTCCTTATGGCAGCTTCTGTGTGCCATCACGGACCGGCCTTGCACCCACGATGCTGCACTAGCCACCGACGACACAACGCTGACAGCATTGCACTTCTGACGTGCCTCGTCGTTGTCGTGCATGCTAGGCAACCACCCATCCACCTCAACGGGTCCTCCTTGTCTTGTCTATTGCCATCACCTTTCAGCTAGGGTTTCATCCACACCCCCTAGCTGGTGTTGACTGGCCTCAGCTAGTCCCTAGTTCTGCCTCGCGAACAAATTTCTTGTTCCTGCTCGGCAGGCTCTTTCTGAACCCCGCCATGGCGGTGCTGGACAATCCCGGCTCCAACGATCCCGACCCTGATTCCCAGCCTGCCTTAACAGGCTTAGACTTTCTTCTCAGTACGTTAGAACTCGACAAGGCAGCACGCGCCACGCCCGATACGATCCCCACACAGAAAGAACCCATGGCACCTGTTATCTCACTGTCTGCCGAACCTGTGGCAGAGACACCTGCGGAACCAACTGTGGGTGCGGCCTCGCAACATTCGCCTCTGACCACGGCGCGCACGATTCAGCTCAAGCAGGCGACATTGGGCTTCTGCAAGGCATCATCGTCGTCTCCCGCCATAACATCATCAAGTCGTGGCAGAGAGGCGCGCTGAAAGATGCACGCCTAGGAGACCTCATGTGCATGAGTCTCATGGACTACAAGCCCAAGTGGGATGAAATTGTGACCATCTGGTGGAGCTACAAGAAGCGCAAGCCCCAAAGCAACGCTCCACTCCCGTCTGCAGGAAGGCGACAGAGCAAGAAGAGTAGGGAGGTTGATGACGAGATGGAAGTGGTAGACTTAGACGCTGAGAAAGATGCAATTGACAGTGATGATGACGAGGGATTTGCTGACTGGATGTTGGTAGGGTAGTTAGTTAGTTAGTTCTATTCTAACTGTGATCTTGTGAAGGCCAAGTAGCAGCATTAGTAGTAGTAGTAGTACTAGTATGAATGTAGGCAAAGCTGTATGAGAAGTGGAGTAGGCTTGCTTCAATGTAACTACTAGGGCTACAACAAGCACAATCAGACTTTTACTTGAGTGTACTCTGAAAGTTTCAGACTTTTTTTTAAACACACTCTGACGTTTCAGACTTTTTTTTTAGACAACTCTGAGGATTTCAGACTAATACTGAGAGAGAGTCTGACGAATCAGACAGGCCAAAAACGAATCTGAGGGCCTGGCGAACATATATGTACACCTCGTAGTACAACACCGGTACCTGTTACGAATAGTAATACTTGAATATTACTGTGCACTCCTCACCGCAACAAAGAGAAGCACGCAGTATCGCGAATGAACGTGAAGCGTCAGGCGGTTGGAATCGACTTGAAGCGTTAGACGGTTGGGACACATCTGGACCGTCGGAGCAGACAACATCAGGCAGCTGCACGCAGGATGGTTTCGGCGGGAACAGTTTCGTAACCGTTCGCGCCGCACGGTTGGGAATGTATTTGAATAAGGGAATGTACCCCTTGGAGTACATGGCTAGCTAGGTGATATCATCTCTCCTGTACTCATATTTATATTTGTTGTATTTGCATGTTTTAAAACCGAAATATAAAATAGTGAAGGCGGATCCAACTTGAAATCGTGCTCGGAAGAAGCAAAACTGGAACGACGATGGGTTGTGTAAAACACTGTTCCAGGCATCGCCCTTCCACAGACTGAACACACGTGATTCGTTCCCGCCAAAAAAAAAAAAAAAAAAAAAAAAAATCAGATCGTGCTCACGCGTTCGCATTTTCTGCATGCGACATTTGCACGACAATTGTTTGTCGTGCGTTTTGATGGTTGGACCCGACTTCGACTTTCAAGCTGGGCGTGGGTTCCACATATGCTTACTTCAACTCCATTCACGTAGCTTGCCTAACTCACAGAGCTTGCCTAGCATAGAATAGCCAGAGACGAGGGATCAGGCTGATGCGGCATAGAAATGAAATTATCATTAGATTGTTTGTGATACTTCGTCGCCGTTGCTGCGTAGTGATATTTTCCTCGCGATCACAGAGAACACCATTCCCGTCGCCATTCCTCTCACCCCTCTCATCGCCCACTATGCTATCCTCGAGTTCGCCAAATCGCCCACCCGTCTCCCTTTCCGTTGCGCGTCACGTCGCCATCTCGTCGCCCGTCCCGTCGCCCTCTTCGTCGCCCTCTCTCCCCTCCTCTCCTCCCGTCGGCCTCTCTCTCGCCCCTCCCTACCGATCGCCCTCCCGTCGCTCGCCCCGTCGCCCTCTCTCTCTCCGCTCCCTTCGCGTCGCCCTCTCTCTCGCCCCTCCCTTTCCGTCGCGCTCTCTCTCTCTCTCTCCGCGCCCTTCCCGTCGCCCTCTCTCTCGCCCCTCCCTTCCCATCGCGTTCTCTCTCTCCGCTCTGCCCTCTCTCTTGCTCCTCCCTTCGAATCGCGCTCTCTCTCCGCTCCCTTCCCGTCGCGCTCTCTCTCTCCGCCCCCTTCCCATTGCCCTCTCTCTTTCTGCTCCCTTCCCATCCTCCCTTCTCGCTCGCCTCAAATAGCCCTCCCGGCGACCTTCGACTCTCCCATCACGTATGCCCTCCTTTCTCCGTCGCCTCTCTCGTTTTCCCTCTGCTATCGCGTCAGTGTGACCCATTCCATACTCTGTTATTGTGTTTGGTTTGTTTGTTTTTTCTGTCTTTCCATCTATTCTCGACACCCTCTCTCCCGCCGCCTATCCTCTCTCCCGTTGCCTATCTTTTCTCCCGTCGCCCTCCCATTTCCCGTCGCCCTCCCGTTTCCCGCCCCCCTCCCGTTTCCCGTCGCCCTCCCTTTTCCCGTCGCCCTCCCGTTTCCCGTCGCCCTCGCGTTTCCCGTCGCCCTCCCGTTTCCCGTCGCCCTCCCTTCTTCTGTCGCCCTCCCGTTTCCCGTCGCCCTCGCGTTTCCCATCGCCCTCGCGTTTCCCGTCGCCCTCCCGTTTCCCGTCGCCCTTCCGTTTCCCGTCGCCCTCCCGTTTCCCGTCGCCCCCCTTCTTCCGTCGCCCTCCCGTTTCCTACGCCCTCCCTTCCCGTCGCCCTCCCGTTTCCCGTCGCCCTCCCTCTTTCTCTTCATTCGCGTCACCTTGCCCATCATAATTTCCCCCCTAGTGCTGTTTTTCTCTTCAGTTTCCCGTTATTGCACCTCTCCCAGGCCTCAAGTCCAAGGCAGCACATTGATCAGAGCTCTACTAGCTCTAATAACGTTCAAACTCTTTCACTCTCATCACGTACATGTGTGTCTGCTTGGAATTTAGCGTGAGATGTTGCTAGTCGTGAATTTGGTGAAGTATTGGCTCTAGTGAATGCAGGAGTACTCGTCGCTCAACTTTGCGCCAAATTCGCACATGTACATGTGAGAGAACCTGGCTGCCAATCAGATCTGACAATGAACTATCGTTCCTGGTCCAATAAGAAACTCGTTCGAGGGTCGAAAAAAAAAGCACACATACAGCAATTCCAACATTCCAAAACAAAACAAAAATACTTCATCTTCAAGTGGACCCAACTAGAAGGGGGGGGTCACTATTTTGCTTGCTGGCTTTAAACCATCTCAAAGTTTTACATTCACTCTGCTATTGAGGTGAAGGGCCCACCAACATCACTTCTCTGCGTGCGAACCTTCCTGAGTAGATCCTAGGCCACGATCAACTTCTGATCGCAGCATGGTATGAGAGCGGCTCAGGAATCGTGTCAGATTTATATGACATAGCTATTGTAGGCTATAGTGGGGTAGCACATATGGGGTACAGCTTTTCTAGGGTTTGTATTTGTACCCAACTTTCACTTAGTCATTTCATTCTAGTTCTAAGTTTTCTCATGGTATCGAGCAGGTTCCCTCGTGGGAACTGTGCCTAGGGCCCACCACATCGAATTTTTTTTTTTCCTACCCGGAGCGCGCTCCCCGAGTCGCGCTCCCCTCTCTCCTTCGTCGAGCTGCCCTAGCGGCCTCCCTTGCGGCCCCGCCGCCCTCAGTTGCGGCCCCGCCAACCTCCCTTGCGGCCCATCGCCGCCCTCGGTTGCGGCCCCGTCGCCGCCCTCACCTGCGGCCTGTCGCCGCCCTCCCTTGCGGCCCCGCCGCCCTCAATTGCGGCCCCGCCACCCTCTGTTGCGGCCCCGCCGCTCTCACATGCGGCCCCGTCGCTGCCCTCAGCTGCGGCCCCGTCGCCGCCCTCCCCTGCGGCACGTCGCCGCCCTCACTTGCGGCCTCGCCGCCCCCCTCATCTGCGGCCCCGTCGCCGCCCTCACCTACGGCCCCGACGCCGCCCTCAGCTGCGGCCCGTCGCCGCCCTCAATTGCGGCCCGTCGCCGCCCTCACCTGCGGCCCGCTGCCGCCCTCACCAGTGACCAGTCCCCGCCCTCAATTGCGGCCCCGACGCCGCCCTCAGCTACGGCCCCGTCGCCGCCCTCACCTGCGGCCCGTCGCCGCCCTCACCTGCGGCCCGCTGCCGCCCTCACCTGCGGCCCGACGCCGCCCTCACCTGCGGACCCGACGCCGCCCTCAGCTGCGGCCCCGTCGCCGCCCTAACCTGCGGCCCCGCCGCCCTCACTTGCGGCTCCGCCGCCCTCACTTGCGGCCCCGCCGTCCTCACCTGCGGGCCCGCCACCCTCCCCTGCGGCCCCGCCACCTTCAGTTGCGGCCCGTCCCCGCCCTCACCTGCGGCCCGCCGCCCTCAGTTGCGGCCCCGCCGCTTTCGACTACTGCAGCGCCGCCCGAGCCGCCTCACCCAGCCTAGCCGCCGACCGCCGCGCCGCCCTGCAGCAGCACAACCGAGCCGCCCAGCAGCAGAGCAGCCGAGCCGCCGAGCCGCCGGGTCGCCCTGCAGCCGAGCCGCCCAGCCGCCGTGCAGCCGAGCCGCCCAGCAGTCGAGCCACCCTACGCCCAGCCGCTCTTCCGCCAAACCGCCTGTGCAGCACTGTCCAATGAGCACAGTACCTCTGTCACTGCACTGCCCATTCCCTACTACTTGCACTGCTGGTCTACTGTTGTCATGGCTACCCCTAGTGTCCTCGCTTTTGACGCTGAGGGTCGAGCCATTGACTTTGAGGTCTGGGTCAACGACCTCGAGCTGTTCTTACAGTGCGATAGGGCAGACGGTCTCTCTCTCTTTGACCTCACCTCTGGCGCCTCTCCTGCCCCTGCTGCTGATGCTGACGCCACTGTTCGCTCTCAGTGGGCCACGCGCGATGCTGCTGCACGTCTTGCTGTGCGTCACCACCTGCCTACCACTGAGCGCGCGCACTTTAGCCAGTACAAGAGTGCTCAAACCTTGTACGACGCTGTAGTTGCGCGCTACTCTTCCCCTGCCACTGCTGCACTGAGCCGCCTCATGCTACCGTACCTCTTCCCTGACCTTGCTGCCTTTCCCACAGTCGCTGACCTCATTACGCACCTCCGCACTAGTGACACTCGCTACCGCGCCGCGCTTCCTGCTAAGTTCTGCACCAAGAACCCCCCCCCCATGTACATCACTCTCTATTACACAGTCACCCGCCTCCCTGACTCCCTTCGTGTAGTCAGGGACCACTTCCTCTCAGTCTGTCCCACCACTCTCACTGTTGACCTCCTAGAGAAGGCCCTCCTAGCAGCGGAGAAGAGCATAGTCGCTGTAGGAGCCTCTCGTGGTGACCCTCGCACCCCCATCTTTGAGGGGTGTTCCCCTTCCCCCCTTTTGCCATCTGTCGCCTCTGCTGCTGCGGCCGACCTCGTTGGTCTTGAGTCAGTCGGTGCGGCATCTGCCCCTAGCGGGAGACGCCGCTCTGGCAAGGGCAAGGGGGGCAAGGGCGCGGGTGGAGCTAGCGGGGGTAGTGGAGGTGGCGGTGGAGGCGGCGGAGGGAGTGGGGGTGGCGGTGGGAGTGGTGGCGGGGGTGGAGGTGTCTGTGGCAGCAGTGGAGGCGGAGGCAGCGAAGGAGGTAGCGGTGGGAGCGGAGGCGGCGGTGATAGCGGAGGTGGAGGAGGCGGCGGTGGAGGAGGTGGAGCTGGTCGGGGTGGCGCTTCGCAGCGGAGCGGCTCCGGTGGTGGTCCGCGCCAGCAGCAGCAGCGGTCACGGGACATCCCCCCCCCTCAGCAGCTCCGTGAGTGGTACGCACAGCGTCAGCGTGGTGGGGGTTTTGGTCCGTGCACCTACGTCATTCGCACCGGCGACCGCGCGGGTGAGCATTGTGGGGGTGCCCACCCCACCCAGCGCTGCTTTGGCCGCCTGACGGGGCGCCACGTCTGGAGCTGCTGAGCCTGGGGGTGAGGAGCCTGCGGCCGCTGGACCTGCTAGTGTGATGTCTGGCGGTGTTGGGCCTGGAGGGTCTCCGGGTGCTTCGACACAGCGGGAGCCACTCTCTCCACAGGAGCTGCGCGAGTGGTTTGCCCGGCGCTGGAGGCGTCCTGCTGGAGCTGCTGGGCCTGCGAGTTCGACTGGAGCCGGAGCTGCTGAGGGTGTTGGCGCTGAGGCTACTGCTGTCAGTCCTGGCGGTAGTCCTGCTGCGGGTGCTGCTGGAGGTACTGCAGCTGGAGGTGCTATTGGCGCTGATGCTGCTGCTGGGGGTACTGGTACTGTCCCTGCTGTGTCTGGAGTCGCCGCGCGGCCTCGGCCGTACTTCGTTCCGCTCCTTCAGCGGGTTCTTGGTCTTTCTCCTCCCTTAGAGTGTCCACCGCCTGTCCACTCACAGTCACAGTTACCGCCGGCCTCCCCACTGCCTGCTCCTTCTCCCTACACTGGTCCTACTGGAGGTCTTGCTGAGCGTTGTGAGCCTGCGTCTCCTCCTGCGTCGCCTGTTCGTGCTGCTCGCACTAGTGGTCGCGGTTCGCGTCAGCGTCCTCCTCCTGTCCTTGGCATGCACCGGATGTCTCTGCGTCCGTCCACTGCTCCTCTGCGTGCCCCTTTGCATTCTCCTCCTGAGTCCTCTCTTCTTGCTCTTGCCGACCCGGAGTCGGACTCTCTTCGTGCTGCCAGTCCTACTGTCACGCGTCTCCTTGATACTGTCGTCACTGACCCCTCGTTTGAGTCCACTGCTCCGTCTGCCCTAGTTGCTGAGCTCGTCGAGTTTGCTGCTCGCTGTCGTCTAGACTACGCTGCTAGTCTTGTTGCTGAGTCTGCGTCTGTCTGTCCTCCGACCATCGGGGGTGAGTGTGCTCTTGGCACGGACGTCCTTGAGGACACGCAGGAGGAGTTCTAGTGTCTCGCTGCTGCTTCACCTCATCTCGTGTCCGTACTGCTTACCCCTGAGGGAAACCCTGATGCACTTGACATCCCGACTCCGCGCTCTTACGCGGAGGCCGTAGAGGGTCCCTACTCCTCTCAGTGGCAGGCAACTATGGATGCAGAGATGGCTTCCTGGAAGTCCACACGCACCTACGTTGACGCGGTTCCCCCTCCTGGGGCGAACATCGTCAGTGGCATGTGGATCTTCAGGGTGAAGCGGCCGCCGGGTTCTCCGCCTGTCTTCAAGGCGCGGTACGTGGCTCGTGGCTTCAGTCAGCGGTAGGGAGTTGACTACTTTCAGACCTTCTCTCCCACCCCAAAGATGACCAC